ATAAAAGTTACTGTGTAAGATGAATTAGCTTGCAAAAAACCAAGAACTCTAAATATTAAATGAACTATCTGAATCTAAACTACACCAGTAGAGTAAAATCCCATTAGCCAAAATAAGTACTAATGTTCCGTGTCCCCATGATGATAATCATAACACTAACAACCATCACAATTAACTATTTACAAGCAATCATGGCTGCTCCCTCCCCTCCACTGACCCGCAAATGCAATGGCAACGATTCCATGCCAACATACCAGTACAGTAAAACAAGAAACTAAAATGAACAAATATATATAAACATTTTCCAAGTTAACACTATCAGGCTCGGAGAAACGCATTAAAATCTCAGAAATTGAGACCCGAATTTTAAGAAATTGTGTCGAAATTAAGATCTTCACACGACACAAAACTGGGGGAAAAACATAAGAAAGACGGCAATCATCCACATAACCGAAGTACGAAAATCGCATGAAATAATCGTTCCAGTCGCATCATCACCTTTGCCTGCTCGTGGGGTACGCCGGACCAGGCTGAGAAATGTGAGGCGGCAGCGGTGGGGTCGATGTGGAAGGAGAATTAGAATCGTCAAAAGCCCCAAATGAAGCTCTCATCATTCACCAAAGAAAACGTCATGCTCCAAAATTCTCCGACATTTCGATCGGAAAAGAAGAAATTGCGAGGAAATTAATCCCAATTCAAAGTGAAATGGGAAAGGGGCGGTGTTGTATTTATTTAGAAGCAATGATCGCCGGAGAAGATGGTGAAATTCAGGCGAGGAGGAGCTTCAAACTGGCTAGAAAAGATCTCCGGCAAGAATACGAAGAAGAAGAAGAAGAAGAAGAAGAAGAAGAGGGCATTCTTGTGAAAAAGAAAACCTAGACGAACAAGAAACGAAACAGAGATCGAAGACAACACCTCCTCTGAAAATCAAAATGTTTTTGGACATATATGTTCCCCTTTTTTCTTTTTCTTTTATTTTTTTATTTCTCTTAATTTTCAACTTCGATATTAATTTTAAATCTCATTTTCACATCATTTTTTTATCTCATATTTAAAATTTTGAAAAACTAATTTTTATTTTAACTCATTTGGAGTCTTAGTCAAATTTTTGACTAGCCTCCTTTTGGAGTCCGTTCGACATTTAAGGTGCCAATCTATTGGCATGGCTAAGTTTAGGGCATGGCTCTGATACCATGTTAGACGAACACGATTTGCCAATCTATTGGCATGGCTAAGTTTAGGGCATGGCTCTGATACCATGTTAGACGAACACGACTCTCCACAATGATATGATATTGTCCACTTTGAGTATAAGCTCTCATGGCTTTGCTTTGGGCTTTCCCAAAAGGTCTCATACCAATGAAGAGTGTATTCTTAGATTATAAACCCATGATCATTCCCTAAATTAACCGATGTGGGACTTTCATCATCCAACAATGATTTCCATTTTTGTCTCGTACGATGTACTCATACTAAAAATCAGAATTAAGGATTTTGCGATTTAATGCCCTTCAATCGATTTTCATCATTCGCTCAGATTTTAGAGGGCGGTCCCATTAATGTAATGTGTACATAAATTTCAGAATCAAATATACATCCGAATTTACGTCTAAATTGATTTAATTATTAATTAGGTGTATAAATAGTTTTTTTTTTCAAATAAATATATTTTTGAAAAATGTGTATTTTATGCTCCAAAAAAATTGGAAGGGCCCATATTAGCAAAATTTGTCCCAAATATTAAATGCTGTCACGGGTTGGCGGTATTGGACGCTAAATGGGCCGGGCCGAAAACACGGCCCAAAGTGTCTACTACCACATTATGTCTTATTTATACATAAATTTAAATTTAGGAATCATCCTAAAAATGGGTTAAATTATAAATATACTTTTTAAATTTTGAAAATAGGAAAAAATATAAGCAAAAGGGGAAAAACCGAAAACACCCCTCCCTTTTAATTATTTCATCAATCGTCTATTTTCGGGTTGAGTTGTAATTTTTTTTTTAATTATTTAAAAAATTATATTTATCTGCTATACATGTTGGTTAATAATTAAAATTTTATCAAGTTTAGATATCGAACATTTACCGGTCACAATACATAATATTAAATTTGTTAATCTTTTTAAAAGTAGGATTGAGTTATAACCATATTTTCGGGTGGGTCGGTTTGACCTGACGAAAAAAATGTTAATCTATAAATCGAACCAAATTTTTTTATTTCTAAAAAATTCAAATCTAACCTAATAGGTTTGGATTGGGCAGTCTGGGTTGATTAAATCATCGAATTATATCAACGCTTATACGAAATTGATTTAAATTATTCTTAAATTATTCTCAAATATTTGTATTTGGAAATAAAAGGAAAGTCTTGGATTGGACGTTAGCTTTTTTATGCCCTTACGGTACGTTATATTAGCTCTTGCCAAATAAGCAAACTAACACCTTTTATTTATTTATTTAATTTATTTTTTTAAATAAGACATTAATTATCGTCAATAAATGGCTCAATCTGTCACAAGAGAAGTTTCCACACATTTGTTTAAGTAATGTTTCGTTTTTCTCTTCATCTGATGTAGGATTTTACAATCAACCTCCCTTGAGGACCTAACGATCCACATCTTTATAAGAAATGTTTCGTTTTCCCCTCTAATTGATGTAATATCTCACAATAAATTTCCCTCAGAGAATAACGTATTCGCTGGCACATTGTTCGATGTTTGCTTCTGATACCATTTATAACATTTTAAAATCACCGCTGACAGATGTTGTCCACTTTAGCTCCCTAAGTATTGCTCGTCAACTTCACAGTTTTAAAATGTGTGTATTAGATAGAGGTTTCTATACTCTTATAAAAAAATATTTCATTTTCCCTGATCAATAATTATTGCTCCAGTAGCAAGAAAAATGCCACTTTCGTCCCTATGAACAATTTTCAATTTTTTTTTTTATATTTTTTCTACGTGTAAATATTCAAATATATTTTTTAAATAATATATTCTAAGGCATAAATTTATTATTATTATTCAACTAATTTCAATAAAATATAAGTTTAAAGGACTAAATTTAAAATTTATCAAATTTGGAGAGACTAAAATATAATAAAATCTAAAATATGGGATTAAAATGTAATTTTAATCAATAATTAAAAAAAGAAAGAAAAAAGGTCAGTTGGGCATGAAATGAGGACAGGGCACCATAATTGAAGCGGAGCCTTTGAATCTTCCACGCAATGCATTTTCGGGTATTCCTCAGACGTGGACACTCATTACGTGTCATGATCCCGCCTTACGTGGCGCTACATCCCTCCCGCGTTTCACCAGCCATACGATCTCCAGAACGACATATCGAAAGACAGAAACCGAACTCCCTGGCCCTCACCAACCAACTTTTCCTCTCCACTTGTCGTTTAGTTTGTGGCTTTCTTAAAGGGTTTTAAACACTTCAAAACACTTTTTCTCAAATTTTTTTTTTAAGTACTCGGTAACAGATTCAGTAGAGACAGGGTGACGGGATGGAGCCTATAGCTCAAAAGACTAGAGCATGTAGCTACAAACCACAGAGTTCAAATTGACAAAATACTTTCTTAACCAGAATGCATCAACAAAACTAATAACCTTCTATATGGATTGTCGGGTCTCATTATTTCCACTTTCATCCAACATTTTTTTTTTTAAATTTTACTCTAACAATGCAAACGTTTATGAAAGATGGTTGATAATTTTGCAACATTAAAAATAATATAGGTATTTGTAAATGAATAACAAATACGTATAAGGGGTATTTTTGTAATTTGACTATGAAAAAACAAAGTATAAATTTTAGAGTTTTTTTAATTTTTAAAAAATATCCAATAAATTCTACCTTAAGCTTATTAGTTATATAACTAAAGAAAAGAAAAATAAAAAGAAAAGGTTACTAATTCTAAATCTATTTATTTATGTAATTATTGTATATAAATGATTTTTTTTTTTTTTTTTTTTTGAAAATGGAATTAATCGGTAATAATAAGTAATAAAAAGAAGGAATAAAAACTAATTATAAAAATTAAAGCATTGACCTATTTTCGTCATTTTAGTTAATTAATTTGCCAAACTTTTTTATCCATCAATGTTAATAATAAATTACTAGAAAACGAACATAATTTTTTTCATAATTTATTTACAAATTATTTATCGTTTGAATTCTTAGCCGAATTTAAAAAAATAAAAAAAAATGTCACCCATCTTTTTTAATTAAATAACAAAACAAAGAGATTTATTAAATTTTAAAAATAAAAAAATCTATAAAGAGGGAAACCTTCCAACCCGACCACGTGGCACGAACAATAATGTACATCCAGCTCATCGCATAGGTGGATTAGACTCCAATGGTCAGTTTTGATGCCAACTCTGCCAATGATCAAACCACGTAGGTCCTCATCTCTAATTTGGCCAAATTGTAATACAAAAGAGATCGCCAAACTTAATACACCTCCACTCCACACAAAATCAATCTTATCTCCCTTCAAATTACACCCTAATTACTATTAAATGTCGATCCTATCCATAACTATTTTTAAAATTACAATATTATCCCTTAAATTTAATAATTTTTTAATAGGTCTTTAAATTTTAAAATTTTCAATTTAATTTTATTAATTTTAAAGAATATTATATTTACAAAAGACGGTAATTAAATAGAAAATTAAAAATTAAGAAGCTTATTATTGAAAGTGAGATATAACTAATTTACTATGAAAGTAATATAATTATTGAGTTTTATTCCATTTATATTTCCCTTATGCCAAACGCTACCCAAATATTTAAATATTTTATTTGAATTAAACAAGACCAGGAGTATTAGGGAAAATAAATAAATAAATAAATAAATTAGAATTCCACGTGGACTACACGTGGCCCAATTGCAAGGAAGACAAAAAATATGGTCGTTTTGCAATCCGTTTGAGAACTCTATAAATAACGCCGTTTGCTAATTCAATTTCAAATTCGATTAAAAACACGAGAAGAAGAAGAAGAAGAAAATTCGTAAAAAATGGCGCTCAGATCAATGAATCAGATCGGTACTCTGTTTCCGGCGGCGAAATGCAACGATCATTCAGTTCGAGCGAAGGTTCCGGCGTGTACGGCGGCGGTGAGGACGGTCCCAGCGGTGGGGATTTTGCGATCTAGGGTTCAGAATCGCGAAAGAGAGGAGGTGATGATTTCATCGTTTGACAGATTCCGGCGGAGTTTCGCGGTGTCGTGTAGAGCTTCGACGGCGGCTGAGGAGGCGGAGAAGGGAGGGGAAAGGAGAGGAGTGGCGGTGTTTGTGATGATGCCGTTGGACTGTGTGACGATGGAGAATAAGGTGAAGAAGAGGAAGGCGATGGAGGTGAGTTTTCAGGCGATGAAAGGGGCGGGAGTTGAGGGGGTTATGGTGGATGTGTGGTGGGGATTGGTGGAGAAGGAGAGGCCTGGCGAGTACAACTTCGGCGGTTATGAGGAGTTTTTTGCTATGGCGGCGAAATACGGCCTCAAAGTTCAGGCCGTCATGTCGTTCCATCAATGCGGCGGGAACGTCGGCGATTCTTGCACGTAACTACTTCCGCCCCCCATTAATTTGTTTTTGTTTAATTTTAAGCGGTAATTAAAGAATCCTAGCCACCGAAATTTGCTTAATTAATTTTTAAATTAAAAAAATGATAATTTTATACTTTTAGTTTTAATTACTCTAAAAAATCTAACTTTTTAAATAAGAGATATTTGAAAATATTAGAGTATCATAATAAATTTTAGTTTCAAATATTATTAAAATTTTCTCATACATATTTATATTAATTTAAATGAACCCACTCTCTACCTATAAAGAAAATCCATGAACACACTCTCCACCTATGATATTGTCCACTTTGACTCATGGCATGGCTTTGCTTTGAGCTTCCCAAGAGGGCTCGCTTTGCTTTGAGCTTCTCAAGAGGGCTCGCACCATGGAGAGAGTAGACTTTCAATCCAACACCTCCCCTCGAATAAAGTATGTCTCCCCTTAATCGAGGCTCTAAAGTGTTTTTTCATTTTTGACTGAACATTATAGAAGTTATAATTTTTGACAAATTATTGAATATTATTGAATAGTGTTATACCAAACTTATTTTATTATTTTTTTTTAATTTTTGTTTTTGGCAAAACAGGGAAATTTTAATAAGTTTTATTTCGGGCAAAATTTTATTTTATTAATTTTTCATAAAGAATAAAAATTGAAATATTTATTCCAAGTGAGGTCTAATTTAATAAAATTGAAAATTCTGAGTCTAAATTAATAGGAAAAAAATTGTAAATAATTTTAAAAAATTAAAAAAATTAAATTAGTTAAATGATATTATTATAATTTTTGTTGAATTCATGAATTCAGATAAAATTATTTAATAATTAGTTAGTGGTAAATTTTATTTTTACGGAGAACTTTATTTTATTGAAATTATGGAGTTATTGATAATTTCAAAATTAAAATTTTTATTCAAGCGGTTTAATTTAATAAAAATGAAAATTTTGAGTGTAAAATAATACAATAAAAATAAATAAATAATTAAAAGATATTATTGAAAATTTTGTGATATGTTGTGACGATCAAATTCCATAAATGTGTAGAATTCCATTACCGAGATGGGTGGTGGAGGAGATGCAGAAAGATCCGGAGCTTGCATACACAGATCAATGGGGAAGAAGGAACTTCGAATACTTGTCTCTCGGATGCGATGATCTTCCTGTCTTGAAGGGCCGAACTCCTGTTCAATGCTACGCCGATTTCATGCGCGCCTTCAAACAAAACTTCAATCATCTTCTCGGCAACACCATTGTCGTAAGTTTCTGCAAATCTTTTGATTCTTTCCTAGCAAATTTAATCTCTCGCAAATCCCTAGGTTTTAACGTTTCATCCTGTGATTAGCGATTTTTTAAGTCTATAATTATCATCTTTGATTGGAGTATCTATTTAGTTTCTGAATTTAGGGCAGGTTGCTAGTGATTTTTAAATGAAGTACTGGTTGAATCATTCAAAATTAATTTTGTTAGTCTAAAAATAGCTTTGAAACATGTTTAAGAACCATTTTGAACCTTGAATCACTCCCGAACGGTTCTTTAATATATGGAGCATATTAGTTGGACTGATGATCGGCGGTGATTATGCAATATTCTCTGTTTTATAGAATTGTTTTTTTTTAAATGTGAAATTGATGATGGATTTTTGTTTTCATTTCTGATAAAGGAAATCCAAGTAGGAATGGGACCAGCGGGGGAGCTTCGTTATCCATCATATCCTGAACAAAATGGCACATGGAGATTCCCAGGCATTGGAGCCTTCCAATGTTTTGACAAAGTATTCAAAATCTCCATTTACTATGTTTCATCACATATATATGTATTTAGTTTCTTGCCTGTTCTGAAGCTAATCTTCATATTTATTCCTCAATCTCATTACAGTACATGCTCAGTAGCTTAAATGCTGCAGCCAATGCAGCCGGGAAACCCGAATGGGGCTCGACAGGACCGACCGATGCGGGTCATTATAACAACTGGCCAGAAGACACCCGGTTCTTCAAGAAAGAAGGTGGAGGTTGGAACTCCTCTTATGGTGAATTCTTCCTCTCCTGGTACTCCCAAATCCTCCTTGATCATGGGAATACCATACTTTCACATGCTTCCTCAATCTTCAAACCTTCAAGTGCAAAAATCTCGGTGAAGATCGCAGGCATCCATTGGCACTATGGGACTCGGTCTCATGCCCCGGAGCTCACAGCAGGTTACTACAACACACGGTACCGCGACGGTTACGTACCAATCGCGCAAATGTTGGCTCGCCATGGTGCAATCTTCAACTTCACTTGTATAGAAATGCATAACCATGAGCAGCCTCAGAATGCACTATGTGCTCCTGAGAATCTCGTAAGACAAGTCAGCTTGGCAACTCAAAAGGCTCAAGTTCCACTTGCCGGGGAGAACGCATTGCCACGATACGACGAGCGTGCACACGATCAAATCGTGAGGGCGTCGTTGTTGGAAGGCGATAGAGAGATGTGTGCATTCACATACTTGAGGATGAATCCTCAGTTGTTTGAAGAAGACAATTGGAGAAGGTTTGTGGGATTTGTGCAGAAGATGAAAGGAGGGAAGAACAGCCATAGACATAGCCATAGAAGTTGGGAAGACAAGAAGAAGAAGGAGCAGCAGCAAGTTGAAAAGGTAGTGCCTAATCTACAGAGTGAGAGTAATTTGGTCCAAAGAGTTTAGTTTTAATAGCATAGGTTTTAGCTTCCCACTGCTTAGAAACATTAGGGCCCCTTTGTGAAAATTAGGTACATTATTTAGTGTGTGATAGTTGCCCATATAGCCAATTTGGTAAGAAAATAATGGCAAATTTATTCATCAACATATTTAGAATGCCCCAAGTCTTTGGAATTTGAATATAAATTATTTGTTTATTATTGTAAATGCACTTTTTAATTTATAATTTTTTTTAATTTTTTTGCGTCAAATCGTGCCCACCAACTATTTAAATCAAGATCATGCGGTTGTAGCTTCGTTTCTTCCCCTATTAAAGCATTCTTTCTTCTTACTCTTCTTCTAACCGACTATCGCGTGCGGATTCAAGAAAATAATATGGTTGTTTGATCGAGTTGAACTTAGAGGATATCCCAATGTTGATATTGATCGAGTTGAACTCATTATATGTTTTGTTGTTGATTTTAACATTTTTGAGCCTGGAAGTTTTACCAATCCAAGTTTACTGCTAGTAGATATCTCTTCCTAACAAACTAAATTCAAAACCTTGAAAGTCAGTCTAGAAAGAAAAATTCAAAGATTACATATGTTAGCATTGAACTTGAGTGGTTACGAAAAATACAAGAGGTTGAGTTAATCATTAATCACCCTCAATGGAAAGAAATGCTTTAAATACTAAAAAGGTGTAGGACTCAATAAGTTCGAGTATCACCGTCTGAGACAGCATGTATTAACCTTTGTAATGTCAAACCTTAAAGTATTAACGAAATAATGTGATAATTTCACCATTGGGCTCAAAACTCAATCCCTTCAAGGTTCTAATGATGATTTTACATAAGCAATGGAAGTAAGAGTACGGATGTGCAGAACAACAATCAATAAGTACAACTGAAAAGCCTGTTAATACTAATTACTTCATTTCCTGTCTAAGTATCAAGCAGCAATCCCATCAAAATTTGTGAAGTGAAGAAAAAGGTGAAGCAATTGATGGAACCAGATGCTTTCACTTCCCTTTTTCTTTTCACATCTTCCTTGAGGAAATAACAATTTGGATTGGATTCCCTAAGGCTATCAAAGGCCTCGAAAGGTCGAGGTTAGCCTGCTTCTTTGATATAAAAAAAGAATAACGAACCACGCATTCGACTCGAAATGTACAGCTTATAATCTCCAATGTATTACCTAGCAACTTGAAGAAAAGAACAATGGAAGCAAAGCTTCAAACATTGACCTTCCATTGATAACTCGACCGCCCCGCATCTTAAAGAAGCTTGCTGGTCCTTCGGCGTGATGGACCGCCCGGAAAGAGCTTCATAATCCATCCCAAGACTCTTTCAACCACCTAAGAATGAGAAGATTTAAATGCCTGATTGAACTAATTCCATATTCATTTGCTAAACTAAAAGGAAAGGTAAATGATCAACAAAAGCTCTAAACTAGCAGAGCATTCATTTGTACTTAATCCCCCCAGCCTAAACACACATACACGCGCACACAGGACACATGGCAGTAAGCAAGGGTTAATGAAAGATGATAATACCTCGTCGCCTTCATCTGCAAGTTCTATATCTTCATCATGCATGGTGCGAGAATCATGTTGCCTCACTGGAACAATCTCACCAGCCATACTTTGAGCAGTCAAAAGCTCTAATCTTTGAGTTTGTGTTTCCAGTTTCCTAGACAATTCTTTGTTCAACTCCTTCATGAAATAAAAAAAAAAAAAAAAAAAAAAAGTACGTATAAACCATAAGAGACTCGGGTTAATTTAATTGGAGGATCGATGATAAGTAGTCTATAAGTCAGTTCCTAACATGTAAAAAGCAAAGTTGGTTGATTGTGCAATAAATAAAAGAACTGATAGTGTGTACAGTATTCAGATTGGACAGAAAAGTTACCCTCAACTTAGAACTGCTAGCCAACTCGGATGCCAAAGCTTGTGTTAACTCATCTTTCTCTACAGCTAACTGCAAATCAATAAAATCCATCATCACAAGTCAATAATATTGGATATATTAAATAACTTATTCATAAGAAACAAACCGTCATATCATTAAGAGAAAAGATAGCAAAAAGAGGGCTATGACATCTCCTATGAGGGCGACAAAAAGGATGCACGATTGGCTTAACGATACTTTTTTCGTGAAAATTTCAAACTACTTTCTTTTAGTGGCTGCATCTTAATTGAAACCTAAACGTATGATAATCGAGAACAAGACCTAAAAGAATTGAAACAATAATCACATTAAAGAGGGAAAGCAAAAAAAGAAAAACAGCCCCAGGATAAGTATTACAACTTCACAGAGAATTCTTGAAACTAGACATAATTGATATTTATTCTTTTTTTCTTGTTTATAACAAGAAAAAGATTCATATTAATTTACGAATGGGTACCTCAGCTATTAGAGCATTGATGTTTTGAATCATCCTCATATGATCTGGAGGAATATTGACCGCTGAAACTTCAGCAGTGGCATTTTCCAGCGGCATAAGAGTTCCAGAAGTATCATCTTTAGTAAGAGATTCTCCATCTTTTACTTCATGTTTAGAAGTACTTGGAGCAGTATCTGTATTTACTGCATAAATTTAACAATGAATACAAAAGTGAAAGGAAAATTACTTGGCCATAATCTCATCTTAAGAAAAGGGATGGGAGAAAGGGAGCTCTCTTCACCTAAATCTTCCGTAGATGTAGCGACATCTTTCTTATTTTTAGGATTGCTAATATCAATGGACTTTTCACTTGCAGAAGCTTTGCGTAACTTAGACTGCAACAACTTCTTCTCTGTTAAAAGGAAAGGGATGAAACGACAGATAATTATGATATTGTTTAAGAGATGGAAGCCAAAAGGGTCTTAAAGAAGTGTACCAAAAAACGACACCATTACTTCAGAGCATTCACAATAGGAGGAAAACTGCTAAAATATAATACAGATGCAGCAAATAAAAAATAGTCGATCTACTTGTTATCATTTCTAAAAAATAAATAAGCAGGGGATTAGTTTCAAGAACCATTACAGTTCCATTTAATTTGATTCATAAAAGGAAAATGTAATGGGGAAGGGGGAATTGTAGCAAGTTCAATAACCACATCCATACGAAAAAGTCAACCAGAAAAGAGATTGTCAAACACTTCCACGGATTGAGAGTACTGTATATCTAATTGCAATGTTGTTACCCAAGAAACATCTAAATAACATTCTTTAAGAACCGATCTTTCTTCTGCGCTACACTTTAGGTAGGATACAAATTTTAAATTATAAAACTATCATAGGTCAAAGGGAATTGTCAAGATAAATGCATAGTCAAACAAGCGTTTTGGAGACTATGAATCTGATAAATCTGTAACAGCCTAAGCCCACCGCTAGCAGATATTGTCTTCTTTGGGTTTTCTCTTTCAGGCTTCCCTTCAAGGTTTTTAAAACGCGTCTGCTAGGGAAGAGGTTTCCACACCCTTATAAAGAATGTTTCGTTCTCCTCCCCAACCTATGTGGGATCTCATAGAATCTGTTTGGGATTGAACATTTTGAAAAATCTTGGATGTTCTTGGGAATGTGACACTCGGGTATTATATATTTGAGAATCCGGGGGTTACTATTCTCACGACAATCCACCATCCTCAATTAACAAATAACCAAAATGTATATTGCAAAGCAATCATCTAATTTCTCTTTATACTTTGTTGCATTCACTTGGCCATGCAGTTATGGTAAATTAGAGAATTATAAGAAAATAAATAGAAAACATAGTAAAGCATTCAAATTAGCCTATTAAAATTTTAAATTTTATTTTTACAACAATCCTCAAATAAGACCTGCTTTATCCGTAAGCCTATAACATATCAACCATGTACCAGTGATTTTTCACATATTCATGAACTACAATACGGACTACACTTAAAGGAATACCTCCCTAGTTTTAATGTTCATCATTGACTTGAAATCTGCCAGATTGCGTTCTTATAGCTAAGAAACGAGATTATGTTTACGAAAAACTCATAACCATAGCCTTTTATACTATAAATAAAAGGACAAGTCTAATAATGACCATTACCTCTGATTGAAATTCATATTATCGGACTAATTGAAATTCAAACCATTATGCTTACCTTCCTGAAGAGCATCAATAGTTGATTGAAAATCATGACGTTCTCTCTCCATGCTAGATATTTTCTTCCTGCAAGTTCCAATAAAATTATAATGTGAACTCCAGTTAGTAAAAACAGCTCAAAGCAAGAAGGTATAATTGGATGAGAACCTCTACAATGGATAACTTTTCATTGATTCAATGAGAAGTAAAAATAAGGAAAATAAAAAAAACACTCCCCAAGCACTACGGAGAATACAATATATTGCTCCCAAAGAGGTATTACTAATTACAGGTGAAGAGTAATTAAAAAGGCTAGGGGAAAGACGAAATTTATATGAAGTTGAAGTGGAAAATTAAACAAAACCAATTTCCTTTCATTATTTGAAAGAAAAAAAAGAAGTATCATTTCATTCTAATCACAACCCTCGGAGTAAAGCTTTGAAGCACTCGTGCATAAAATAAAATCTGCTTTTAACAGAAACTTTGACCACAGCAGGATTTATAAATTCTCCCTTACATACGTATGAAGCACCAACGATATTACCGCCGCTTTTGTTTTCCTTTTTCTTTTTGTTTATGGGTGCTTTTGGTTGGTGAGGCCTTTTCCTTTGTAGCCTATTCTTGTAGTTCTCTCTCTCACGCTTGTAATGAAGTGGTCTTTTTTGTCTCCAAACAAAAAAAACATAACAAAACATTTTAAACAGATACAAAGCTTAGCCTAGTCATTTCGAAACACTTGGGTTCCATGAGTAGCCAGCCACTTATTGAACTTACCAAACTAAGAAATAACCATGTCTACATATAAGGGATTTAATGCAGTGATCGGTTTAAGAACCAGAGGTTATTTGTTAACAGCCACAGTATAAGATGACGTACTTGTACGAAGAGATTTCAGCTTCTAAGTTCTCCAATTGCCTCTCCAGCTTTAACTCATTAGATCTTAATCTTAAGGCCTATATAAATAAATAGGAAGCATAGTTTAGACATCATAAATTGTCCATACAAGATGCAAGTAGGACTCCAACTCCAATCCCCATGATGGAGGGTCGATGTCATACTTTCCATATGGAAGAGAACATAATAATAATATGTTAAATTCCTCAATTAGTTCCAAACAAAAACATATA